CCCATTGCTGCTGCCAGGCACATAATCTGCCATGGGCCCCCGTACCCGACTCCTCATGCTGTGACGTTGCAACAAGGTGGATTTCAACCCTACATATGTTAGACCGCCTTTACGAACAGCGAAAGGCCATCACAGATTTCCTGATGTTAAAAGCGGATAAAGGTACTCCCTGTGTAACTTAGATGTCAGCCATTGGCAGCTCATGCGTGACACCTGCGCTTGCTCAGGCCCTTTGAGGAGGCCACGCTATTCGTGAGTCGGCAGGACTATGGGATGAACGAGGTCAATTCTGCCATGGGCCCCCGTACCACCTGGTCACGCTGCTGCTGAGCCCACAGTGTGACCTGGGTCCCTGTACCGCCTCCCATTGCTCCCACTCTGCCATGTGCCACTTTCAGGTCTCCTCACACTCCTGCTGGTTTCCATTTTGTCATAGGTTGCTGTATGGCCTCCCATTGCTGCTGCCTCCACCGCCACACTGTGGCTCCAAACACTGGTTTTGGCTCCGTGACTGGCCAAATGAGTGAAGTGTGCGGTGATTCTAAGATCGACGGCACTCATCTGCATGTCATACTGACTGACAGTATTATTTCTCTTCCCCAGCAGACTCCAAGGGCATTTAAATTAAAGGTACAGTGTTCTGCACTAATATTAAGTCTCTCTGAAGCCTAGAAAACACCCTTTTTTAAGTTAAATTCACAGCAAATATATTCGACTCGAATCGAATATTGTCCACGAATTCGCCGAATCAGTCGAATCAAATTTTTGAATACTTCGCTCATCTCTAACTCTGACCGATGACATGGTTGCCAGATTCCATAAACTATGGTGCAATTGGTATGCTTTCACTTTCTCAGAAACATATAGAGGGCTGATGGGCGATTAACACTTTTCTACTTTTCGATGTGTGTATCATGCTGGTGGATACTTGACTCCGCTTGCAGAATTAGATCTGTTCTTACGACTGCTGTTCTCTTTCTTTAATAAAAGATCACATAGATGAGTTCTTGCTGGAAAATAATATTTTAAGCAACAGACAGCATGGATTCATGAAAGACAGAAGGGACCAGATTTACTAAGAATTGAGTCTACCAGCAGACGCTGAACATTCAGGCAGACTCAATTCAATCAATCAATCAAGACCTGTCAGTCTTCAGAAAGGCTTCCAGCGAGCTGATTAGAAAGAGTTTTACTTTCTAGACTCTTTCCTGTTCGTAAATACAAAATGACTTTGGTCACATTTCTAGATGCAATGCCGGATATGTTTGCTAGTTGGCACACAACCGCAGGCTTTGTCCTGTTGGCGTTTATTTGTTCGCATATGAGAATACTTATTTAAAATAAAAAGCACACCTATATTAAAGTTTTTTTAAATAATTTTTTTTGTTGCTGTTTCTCCAAAAATGATAGGCCAAATAATGCATTTCCTAATGAATGTCATACATTCTATTTTCAAATGTCAAACATGTTCACACTTATATCTCAAATAATTTGAATGTCTAGTTCTGATTTCCCAATATAATTATATATTGTTATTCTCTTTAATCATGTAACTATTCTACATTCCAGCTCAAACTCTGTCTCCTACAGTGGCTTAGTGGTTAGTACTCAGAATTTACAGCACTGGGGTCATGGGTTCTAATCCCAGTCATTGCTGCACCTGTCTGGAGTTTGCATTCTTTCTCTGCACGGGTGTGTTTCTGCCAACACTTCAAAGACATGCTGTTAGGTTAATTGGGCCTAGTATATGTCTGAGTTTCTGGCCTTAGATGGTAAGCTCCTTGACATTTGTGAATGCCCAAAATATGTAGATCAATTTCCAGGGTTCTGTCAATGCCAGGAATATTGATCAATCAATTAAGATTTTGGCTACTGACTAGAAAGTGGAAAGGGAGTGAAAACTTACCTGTGTCCTGTTCTTCTGACAAGTTTGAAACTTTCATTTTTCCTGCTGTTTACATTTAATTGCAACTTTATTTTTCTTCTCTTAAACCTCTCTCCTTATATAATTTGACCCCCCCCCCGTCATCATCTGTTCCATCTGCAAATCTATGTATCACCGCCCCATTTTTTTATTTTACTATTTATTTACTGATCAAGTTAATATTTCTCATTTCCTATCACCTCCAGCTCAGATCTCGCATTATTATATGATTCCTGATTGTATCTCACCACTAATCTGATTGAATTCACAATTCCTGGTCAGTCCCGTTCCCTGACCTATAATGACCTTTAGGGCCAGTTCACACTACATGTGTTTCAGTTTCTTTTTTTCAGCATCTGCATTGTTTATGCACAGAACCTTTCTGGAAAGCAATAAAACACACATGTCCCTAGTTAAACTGAAGAAAATGAAAGGGGGAAAAATTAACTTTAATGGATACAAAAATGCACTGGAACGTGTCAAAAACACATCCAAAATGCACTGGAACACTCTAAACATGCATCCAAAAAGTGCATGCAAAAATGCATCTGGAACACTTCTAGACTGTTTCTATAGTGTGAACTGGCCCTAGGACTTGTTCACACCATTTGTGGTGCAGAAACGCATGCAAGAGCACACATTTTCCTGCACAGCAAAGAAATGCAATTCTCTTTGCAGATGTGCGCAGGTACCATGATGCAAACTTAATTGCACCTCCACACGTCTAGTAAACACAGACACATTCACAGCCACCAAAACGCATGGCACCACACTACTGTGTGGTTAGGTGCAACACACTTTTAAAATAATATGCCTGCAGTATTTTTGCATGTCCCCACACGTTAGGCAGTCCATTGAAATTAAAAAAAAGTCAAAAATGCCACATTCACACAGGTCCTCTGACCTGTACAGCATGAAAGAGTGGGTTGTTCACGTGGCTGGAGCCACCTGTTACACTATGGGGACACAGCAGCTGTATGAACACAGGTTTTAATCTGACAGGTGTGCAGGCGTGGGGAAGTGGCCCTGAATGCTCACTGTCTGTGTTCAGGGCTGTACACCTGCACCCATATGCTTGTCAAATTATGACCTGTGGCATTTCCATAGTGTAACATAGGTTGCCTGCGCAATCGGCATCAGCCACAGAAACAAACCACTGATTCACACTCTACAGGCCACAGCACCCATGTGAATGAGCCCCAAGACCTCAATTACACACACAGCTTTATTTATGAACTCAGTACAGTTTTATCACTTAGATTTAAAAGGAATTTGGTTGGGATTGTGTCCATTAATAATGTTTTTAGTGTATTTTTACCATAAATATAATGTTGATATTTTTGCTGGTGATGAGGAGCCTGACAGGTAGGCTATACGGGGACCCGTAATATCTAACAGTGGCCCTGGGTATATGCTTGTGTCTGTGCCACCTGTATAGTTAGAAAGAACAATATCTTCTTCTATGGAATACTTTGAACCTCTGCTATGTACCTCAATGTATCTAGGAATAGGACATGTTTTCAAATGAAAATACAACAATTATTAGTGATGTTTCCCTAAAGCAAGCATGAAGTAACCCCTTAGTATAATAAAGCAGCCCAAATTGTCATGTTCTCCAGTGTACCTAATTATGCATAGGCCAGATCTCTGTGCCCAGATAGGACCTCCCAGTGGCTATTCTATGGACAAGGTACACTTTTCTGTATGCCTGATCTATGTTGAGCTGCAATAGTCAATACGCTGCAATGGCCAGAAATATTTGGACCCAAACCACATGAGCTCAGGTATTCAAACGTGAATGTTCCTTCATAGCAAATCTCCATGATGTACTATATGGGCCTGGCCCACTCTAAATGAATCCATTGTTCCGGTAGCTTCTTCTATTACAGACTTTAGCTACATGTGGAGGAAATTGCACTGACATTTCATCACATTGCATATTAACTGACCATCTTAAGTCTAGGAAATAGAATCAAGAGGATATAACACTTTTTTAAGGAACCAAAAAAAAAAATTCTTTATTCGACAAAACAAAAAAAAAAGGCAAATACATGGCCTGATAGTAAGATATGGCTGCCAGCTCCCAATTTATGTTCAAAACAAAAACTGGCTCCACTGTTTGCCAGCACACGGCTCAAACATACAGTCAGGTCCATAAATATTGGGACATCAACACAATTCTAATATTGTTTGCTCTATACACCACCACAATGGATTTGAAATGAAACGAACAAGATGTGCTTTAACTGCAGACTGTCAGCTTTAATTTGAGGGTATTTACATCCAAATCAGGTGAACGGTGTAGGAATTACAACAGTTTGCATATGTGCCTCCCACTTTTTTAAGGGACCAAAAGTAATGGGACAGAATAATAATCATAAATCAAACTTTCACTTTTTAATACTTGGTTGCAAATCCTTTGCAGTCAATTACAGCCTGAAGTCTGGAACGCATAGACATCACCAAACGCTGGATTTCATCCCTGGTAATGCTCTGCCAGGCCTCTACTGCAACTGTCTTCAGTTCCTGCTTGTTCTTGGGGCATTTTCCCTTCAGTTTTGTCTTCAGCAAGTGAAATGCATGCTCAATTGGATTCAGGTCAGGTGATGGACTTGGCCATTGCATAACATTCCACTTCTTTCCCTTAAAAAACTCTTTGGTTGCTTTTGCAGTCTGCTTTGGGTCATTGTCCATCTGCACTGTGAAGCGGCATCCAATGAGTTGTGAAGCATTTGGCTGAATATGAGCAGATAATATTGCCTGAAACACTTCAGAATTCATCCTGCTGCTTTTGTCAGCAGTCACATCATCAATACATAAAAGAGAACCAGTTCCGTTGACAGCCATACATGCCCACGCCATGACACTACCACCACCATGCTTCACTGATGAGGTGGTATGCTTAGGATCATGAGCAGTTCCTTTCCTTCTCCATACTCTTCTCTTCCCATCACTCTGGTACAAGTTGATCTCGGTCTCATCTGTCCATAGGATGTTGTTCCAGAACTGTGAAGGCTTTTTTAGATGTCGTTTGGCAAACCCTAATCTGGCCTTCCTGTTTTTGAGGCTCACCAATGGTTTACATCTTGTGGTGAACCCTCTGTATTCACTCTGATGAAGTCTTCTCTTGATTGTTGACTTGGCACACATACACCTACCTCCTGGAGAGTGTTCTTGATCTGGCCAACTGTTGTGAAGGGTGTTTTCTTTACCAGGGAAATAATTATTCGGTCATCTACCACAATTGTTTTACGTGGTCTTCCGGGTCTTTTGGTGTTGCTGAGCTCACCGGTGTGTTCCTTCTTTTTAAGAATGTTCCAAACAGTTGTTTTGGCCACGCCTAATATTTTTGCTATCTCTCGGATGGGTTTGTTTTGTTATTTCAGCCTAATGATGGCTTGCTTCACTGATAGTGACAGCTCTTTGGATCTCATCTTGAGAGTTGACAGCAACAGATTCCAAATGCAAATAGCACACTTGAAATGAACTCTGGACCTTTTATCTGCTCATTGTAATTGGTAGAGATGAGCGAATTATTCAAAAATTTGATTCGACTGATTCGGCGAATTCGTGGAAAAAAATTTGATTTGAGTCAAATATATTCGCTGCAAATTTAACTTATAAAAAGGGTGTTTCTAGGCTTCAGAGAGCC